AGTCTGTGTAATGGCTATTAATCGCACATTGTTAGAGCACTCATTTTATTTCTACTGGTTTAAAGAAGAATTAAGTGAATAAAATCATGAAGAATGCTATTCATTCAGTCTGTCTTTTCATTCATGTATTTATGTATTTGTCTTATTTGAAAAGGGATGACTAAAGAGTTCCAAACTGGCAACATATTTAAGGACTGAAAGACTTGCATGGATATCACTGGTGTTTGCTGAGTTTGCTCTTTGTAGATGATTGATCTCAGACTGTGAACCTTGCCTGTGTGCTCACAAACACTGGGCTTTTGATGTTACAACACAAACGTGGGTTCAGCATTGTTGTTCTTTTAAAGGAACAGTTCATCTAAAAAAGACAATTCTGTCACTATATACTTAAGCCATATGCTTTTTTTTAACCCAAGCTACAGTCCATGTAGTCCAATTTGCTTTTCGTTTGTTTGGCATATATGTTGTAATTCTGAAATTTATAGATTCCTTTTATATATTTTATGTAGGGATGCACGGCCAATATTAGACTTTTTTAATTATTGGTATCGGTCAATATTTCTTTATTAATTGTGATGCTCATTTTCTACATTTTTCCATTTAAATTACCTTTGCCATCATCTAACACATTAGATCAACTCTTATATTCAAAAACACTCATATTCAAAAACGCTGTTAAAAGTAATCTTTAGCAAAACTCAAAATGCATATCCATTATAATGTTATGCTACAAATTCACTTGTAACATTGAAAATGATTATTTTGTTAATTCAAAATTATAGATTGGCTATTTATTGGTTATTGGCTTTAACATGTAAATAGTTCATTTGCCTTTTTAAGGCCTTGGACAGGTCTCTATGAGCTGTTCTCGTATGGAAAATTCTCTGTGTCCCATTAAAAAAAAAAAAAATTCTGAATTTTCAATTTGGTTGTCTAGTTCTACAGCTTGAGTTCTTTAGGCATGGGTTCTCCTCTGAGTCCAGCCAGCAGGTTGTTGGCGGCAAGAGCAGACATGGAGTTCCGTGTCATGTAGGAAGCACTGGCAATGTGGGGAAGAATCACTGCAAATTCAAACATGGACACAGAATACTAGATTTTTTTCAGAAAACACCTGCCAAATGCTTTAATAAAATGCATGAACACATGTGCATGCTTACCGCAGTTTTTGAGTGTGTAAAGAGGATGGTGTGTGGGCAGCGGTTCAGGTGTGGTGACATCCAGCCCGGCTCCAGCGATCAGACCAGTGGACAGGGCTTCATACAGATCCTCCTGATTAACCACTCCTCCTCTTTACAATAGCAACACAAACAGAATCATGCAGTGAAGTGCCGAGAGACACTAGTGTACTGTGGTTCAATTGAGGTAAATGGTATAAACAGGTTATAAACATGACGTTTGCTGCTTGTTTTTGTTGTTTTTTCAAACGTTTCAGTCAAAAAAAGTTACATAGTGCTGCTTTAATATATACTAGAATGTTATATAAATAATACTAAAATAACACTGGAAAGAATGTCTTAATGCTACTTGCTTGTGTTGATGAAGATGGCGTTTTTCTTCATCTTGGAGAAGA